TAATTACAGCTTAAAAGAAAAAAGGGTCTGCTTTTGATCTGACAAAGGACTGTTTTTCGGGCATTTTCCCCCAGCCTTTGATCTTCTAGCTTCCACACCCAGGTCCAATAAAGAGGCAATGATTCAACACTCCTGTTAGACAGTTTGTTGGAAAAATCCTTTCTTAACATGCCATGTCCTTGTAAGGTCCTATGTGTCAAGTCTGCAGCCTGCTTTGCTCCACTTAACTGAGAAGCGCTTAGTTAGACCATCTGTTAGAAAAGAGATTTATGTCCAGGATATTTAACAGCCATGACTTCTGCTTGATGTGACAGTCATTTCTGTTTGTTAAAAAGAAGCTCTGCCTCTGCCAAATGCAGTGATTTTTTGAACCACTTGCTTCAGGGTTCATTCAGCCTATATGCTCTTCTAACAGCTGCTTTTTAGCTCCCCAACAGCTGTCACATGCACTTAAAATTTATATGAATAGTTGACAACTCTCATAATGCTTGATCAGTTGCTTCGCAATATCACAGGACAGCTGCTATCTATTTCCACCCCTCTTGCAAGAACCTGGGTTTTCTTCACCTGTGTTGACAAAGCCTTGGTTTAGTTGTAAAAGCTTGTTTGTGGCATGGCTGTTGTAGCTACAGAAGCTGATCTGACCAGGTAGACACTGTGTCTTCATTTTTAATTTTTTCCCATTTTGGAGAGTGGCAAATGCTCAAGTTAAAAGAATCCGAAGTGACAATTATCATCAAATATACTTAATGATTATACAGTACTTCTCACATAAATCTGCATACATGATCTCAGGTATTCTTTTAGTGGTATTATAAGGTAAGCTAATATTGTTGTTATAAGCTGTCAAGTCACTTACAACTAAAGGAGACTCTAAGAGGACTCTCAAGGAGTGATGTAATGTTGAAGGAGTGATGTAATGTTGCCATCCCATCCCAAATGAATTTCAGTTGCTGAACCCAGATCTTCTGAGTCCTACTTCAATCTTCCATCTACTACACCACAGTGGCTCTCAAACTAGTTATTAATAATATGGTGCAGAGAGGGTAGAGGTTAATGATTAGAGATTATGAGACTCGCTTAAAGTCATCAAGGATCCAAACAATAATCCACTTAAATTGGGCAGATAACTTGTGGCCCTCTTAACACTGTTTGACTGCAATTCCCGTAAACATTAGCTATGCTAGCTTGAAGTTCAGACCAACAACATTTGACAGAACAAGCTGCCTTCTGCAAAAGTCAGAGTTGCAGATAGTCACCCACAACAGCCACTCAACATCTAGAGATGCACTAAAGCATAACATGATTGACATAATCATCTCCTTTTTGCCTACAGCAGCTGTCTTTCCACCCAGAGCTCTCCAGATATGTTGGGAAGATAGACATTGGGGTACAACACAACTGGAATGCATCAAGGGGAAGGAAGGCATCTGATCATAAAGGACATACATACACTGAAGACAAAGATACTTTACCTATCTTTTCACAATATGACACTGTCAAATTTCTATTTTATTGAAGAACCAATCTTGATTTGGTCACTCTTGCGACTCAAAATAATGGAAGGTTCCCACAAAAACAGCACCGGTTCTTCCTCCCAGGCAGTTAATCAGGTCATAAGGAAACAACAACCACATTGCAACCTTATTTTGTAATCCTAGTGACACAGCAGCCTCCCTCCCAAAAACAAAACAAAAACAAAAACTGTTGTGGCACATTACTTACCGTCATTAGATAAATTCTGACTTAGGGTGACCCTTTCCAGGGTTTTCCAGATAGAGTATACTCAAAAGTGGTTTACCGTTCTCTTTTTCTGGGGGCATCCTGGGAGTGTACAGCTTGTCCAATGTGGGAAGTTTTATTTCCCCACAGTCCAAGAACACATAAGTTGGCTCTACTAGCAGGAGGCACAATGGGGAATCAAACTTCCAACATCTGGCTCTTACCTAAACCACTGAGCTTTGCAGCCAGCTTTAAATATTAACTGTTACATTTTCATGCAAGTTTTCATGGATCAAGTGTACTACCTCAAACATAAACTACAGTCCATTCACCACTAAAAATGGTGGCTGAAGTAATTGAAAAACAAAGTGGATCATGTTTGTCTGTCTATAATTCTTCTTAAAGGATGTTGATCATTCTTGCATTCTTTTCTCTGGTGCTTTGTTCACACATCAGATATATAAATAGTAATAAGGAAGGAAGAAGCACACTGAATGAAAAAACACCTCTACCTCTTCCTCTTCCCAAAGATAGGAGGTCATCATGACTGATTTTTGGATGCAGGAGTTTGTGCTGCATCCAAACAAGCATGTCTGCCAGGTTCTCCAGGCAATATGTTGTTCTTTCCAGCACATCTTTCCCCACTCATTTTACCTCTTCATACTTCTAACTTCTCCTATCCTCCACTGCCTCCCGGAGTTGTGTCAAATTCATGCTGGTTGCTTCGATGACACTGTCCAACCATCTCATCCTCTGTTGTCCCCTTCTCCTCTTGTCTTCACACTTTGCTAACATCAGGGTCTTTTATCTTTTTCACTAGAGCCTGTGTCAAAATCCACAATCCCAGGATACTTTGTAGAGTCCAGCTATGTAGCATTATACAATGAGCATTCTCAAAGTCAACTTTCATGCTACTAACTTCAGCTACAACTGAATTAATTAAATAGGGGTGGGAAAAAATAATACTATTTCAGCCTTCCTCAACTTTCCATCATTCAATGCCATGCTGGGTAGGGAGGTAGCAGTTGTAGTTATGTGGTTTAGGCATCTGACTGGAGAGTCAGAGGTTGGGAGTTTGATTCCTCATTCTTCTTCCTTAACAAGGGCTGGACTTGATGATCCATAGGGTCCCTTCCAGCTTTGCATTTCTAAGATGATAGTCTAAACATCAGGAGGACGGTAGGTAGGGGAAGACTCTGTTACCACGATCATAAGGCAACAAATGTCATCCACTCCTTTTCAGAGGACTTCTCAAACAATTTGCACTACCTGAAGTAGTTCAATCGGTCACAGGTTGTTCATTAAGTCTATCTTCTAAGGCAATGCTTTCAAGCCTTGGGTCCCCCCGCCCAGATCTTCTTGGGCTACAACTCCCAGAAATCCCAGCCAGCACAGCTAGTGGTGAAGGCTTCTGGGAGTTTTACTCCTAGAACATCTGGTGACCTAAGATTGAGAACTACTGTTCTATCCTACAACCAACCTCAGAACTTAATTGTCTAGACTCATTTTGGGAAGCTCCTCAGATATAAGAGAAAATAAGCCAATGGCATTTAAGAGGAGATCAACCAACAACTCCGAGCAGAATAGAAGTGAACAGTACTGAAAATATCTCCCCCACAAAAAATTATTGTGTTCAAGCTGCTCTTTCCAAGCCATTAATCATATAATCATTAAGTTCAAGCTGCTCTTTCCAAGCCATTAATAATAATCCTGAATATCAGCTATCCAGATTCTCAATCCTGAAAAAAAGTACAAATTCTCTTTCCTACAGTGGGAGGGATTTCACCTGAACCATCAGGTGTGAGAGGACCTAATACAGAGACTACCTATGGTCACACAGTAAATCTATAGAAAGTTTGCAGATCACTTGAGAAAACTTGTGCTTTATTTGTTTTGCTAACAGAGGGAGGTCATTTGATCAAGGTCAGATGATCAGACTAGCAATGTTCTAACACAATAGTTGTGATTTTCATGACTTGACATCCTGCAACCCAAACATGAATGCTGAAAGCAGCTAAAACTAGACTGAGGAAGTGAACAGTGATTCACAAAACTCATACTAAAAACAGTGTTAGTCTTCAAGGCACCACAAGACCTTGAAGAGTGAAAGCTAGCTGGTTTAGGTAGAGCCTGAGAATGGAAGTTCAATTACCCATTTTGCCTCCTACCAGTAGAACCAGCCTGTGTTGCCTTAGGCAAGCCGCATAGTCTCAGGGCACCCCAGAAAAAGGGAATGGCAAACCACTCCTGAGTATTCTCTATCAGGAATACCCTGGAAAGGGTTGCCATAAATCATAATTGACTTGATAACACATGATGATGATGATGATGATTATACATGGTGAAAGAGATACCTCTTTGAAAATAGCTGAAGTTTAGCAAACATTACTATCAGCTTTTCAGAATTTTGCTCAGTAAAGGCACAACTCTTACATTAGTAAAGGAAAACTAGCTATTGCAACATAAGTTATGAAAGTGTTGTGTCTTAACAAGATAAAAAAGAGAAAATTATTAAATGGTCTACCAGGACCCCCAGAAATTTTCAAGTAGCCCATTAAAAATGGTTAACTGCTATCATCAGGCAAATTCTCTACACCCTTAATTATTCTTAGCTACTAAAACTCTGTTTTCAATGAAAGGAGATCAAAGGTGGATCCCATCTCTCTTCCTTCATTGCCTCCCTGTTTTTGAGGGATATATAGGATGACATAGTGTGTTGCAGTGGATACAGTAACCGACTAGGACACTGGAGTTGAGAGTTCGAATCCCCATTTGGCCACAGAAACTCATTGTAGGAATGGAACTGGTAAAACCATTCCTTAAATATTTCGCTTACCTTGAAAGCCTACTAGGGTCGCTATTAGTCGGTTCAGACTTGAGGGCACCTAAATGACTATATAGGATCAGCAGCTATGGAATGGATGGGTGTGACTCAGTGCATACGTTCTTGCTGCCAACAGACCTCCTTCCACGTAGCAAGCCAGGCAATCGGGGTCCCCCCCCTTCTCGATATCATTCGGAGGGACCCCCTTATCTCTCGTCAGTAGCGATGATGCCCCCCCCCGCCCGCCTCACCCCCCCCCCGGGGTTTATCCCACCACTGCCTTCTCCAAAATCCCCAGGAGGAGCGCTCACGGGCTTCCATTCAAGCGCCGGAGAGCCGTTCCTCCTCAGGCCGGCTGCCCACCCAGGCGAGCTCGGGGCTGCTGGGCCTGGTCCCGTCGCACGGAAGGGCAGAGGGGTGGGGGGGAAAGGGGAGGCGGCCGCCCGGTACTCACAGCAAATCAGGCCGGTTCCTATGGAGGATGGCGCAAAAGGCCAGGCCATCCCGGAAGGAGCTGCTGAGGTCTCGGATCTCCACGCCGGAGTAGCCCTCGCATTGGCGGCGGCACCAGGCCTGCAAGGCGCTGCGCGGACCCGACATCGGGGAGAGGAGAGGAGGTGCTTCCAGGCTCAGGGAGCCGCTGCCCAGGAGAGGACCATGAAGGGGGTGCAGAGGCGAGCCAGAGGTGGCGACCGGGCTGGACGCGCCTTCGACACGGGCGGCTCCCGGACGGGACGAGGCGGGTCTGTGCCTCCGGCGAGCCCCGTGCGGTTCCTTGCCCCGCGGCTGGGCGGGGAGGCTGCACTCCGCCGGTCCCTGAGCTCAGGTTCTCTCACCGCCGGCTCCCCGATCCCCTCCTACCCCCGGGGGGGAGCGCCTCCTTCCTCTCCCGCCCAGTAACACCGCCGGGCTCTGCTCAGACCTGTCCCTGCGGCAGCGGCGGCGGCGGCTTCTTCTTCTTCTCCGCCCATGATCCCGGCAAAGCGCCGCGGTTAGTCATCGAGCAGCACCGGGCGAAGCCGCAGCCTGTGGCAAGCCAAGGAGCTGCAGCCGCCTTGCTGAGCCAGGCGCGCTTGTGTCGGGAGGGCGAGAGCTGGGAGGGCCTGCATCGCTCTGCGGCAGTCGCGGGTGGGGGAGAGACGGCCTTCGGCACAGCTCGCGAAGGAGCTCTCGTCCCTTGGCTGCTATTTAGGATAGCTAAAGTGGAGCCTCCATGTTCAGAGGCAAGTCGAGCCACGGAGAACTAGTTCTTGGGGCCACGGCAGAGAGCGACGGTTGCTTTCATTTCCAACTGTTGAGCTTCCGGGAGGCACCCTAGCCTACCACGAGGGGTAAATGTACTGGGGCCAGAACATATGGTTTGATCCAGCAACCTTCACGGCACTTGGTTTACAAGCAAGGCTGTTTGATAATTTAATAATAGTGATTTCAGTAACCGTTTCCTTCCATTACACTTCGAAATCCGCCTGAGGTAGCTGGCCGACTCCCTAGTAGGATTGATATATGGAGCAGGCAAGGCCTGTGTACTGCGGTCCCATATTAATTTATTTAAACTATTTTTACCTCGTCTTTCTCCTTAGAAAAGGACCCAAGGCAGCTTACAGCATTTAAAGACAATACTGTACAGTACTGTATATAAAAACAAAACAATGAGTATATAAAGGTGGCCTAGGTAGTCATGCTAGGAGTACCCAACCAAAACCACTCTCAAATACTGCATTGCTGTAACTAGGCATAACCTGGTCCTGAGTCTGCTGCTTGTTCTCTATAAATTGTACATCCCCGGTGCCACACACATATATGTGGCCTAACCCCCTGCACTAAGCTGAGGTAAATAACAAATCTCACTGGACCTTTCTTTCCCCTTGCAGAGGTACCATGCGGGAAATTTGCAGGAATTTTCAACAAATAACTATGAAATTCTTTACACTTAATTTAATATTAATATTATTTTTTCTTACAATAATTACATTACATTTAATAATTACTTGAATTTCTTGTAGCTGCCTGACAACCATAGGTGTGCTTTCTGTCTACCAGTATAGAAAGGTAGGAAGAATAATGCAGGGTGGGGACAGAATTTTGAAACAATGCGTTAGTAATAGTGTTACCTGCATAGTTTAGATTTGAAGATTGATAAGGGCATAGCAATGTTATTTAAAATAATAAAAATAACCTATTTTCCATGTATAGGACAATACTTTTGACTAAAATATTTAGATTAAAAATTGAGGGTCGTCTTATACACGGAAGTAAGGAAGGGGGAAGGGATTGAGGCGCTTTGATCCCTGCTTTCCCCCTCCACTTTTTGCAAAGAAATAAATTTTGGGTTAAAAAGGGGGGGGTATCTTATACACAGAAAAATACGGTAATAATTGAAAGATTGGTAAATCATTTTTAGCAAAACAGATAATGTCTCTTCTTTAGTTCTAAAATATCATTTTGCGGGGGTTGCATTTGACAGGATTTTCAGCCGCTTTTCTAGCTTGCAGAAAGCTTTTTTATTTTGAAAATAGCAGTAAGAAGTATGTTACTAATGTGTTAATAACACATAACTCTTAATGTAGTATCAAGGAGCTACTAATGTATTATTTTGAAAACCAATGAGTAACATCTAATATGTTATTGTGTTTTAAAACTCTTCTGAGCTCTCTCTGAGAAACAACAGGACATGTGTCTGAAGACAGGATTAACATCTGACCCAGTTTCCTAGGGGAGGCTCTAAGGGTTTGCTAAAGCAAGTGAATGGTGGCCTACTCCAGATTCTTAGCTTGGCCAATTGACCTAAAATGGAAGTAGCGTATAAGGCATTGTGTCTCAGGCTACGTTTGTCAGTCTTCCAACTCCCATTGCCATTTTCAGATATTCGCCTAAGTGGAACATATAATATTTGCATTCACTGTGCATTTTAATTTGTCTGCAACAGAAAGTCAGCATCAAAATAGTGGGAGAGTATTTAATTATTAGATGATTAGCTGCTGTTTAATATGTATACTGTAGCATTGCTTATTTGTTTGTGTGTGCCCCAGATTAAACAGGGCTCTTAAAGAGGATTAATACAAACAATTCACATGTACATAATTATGGAATTAATGAGTTCTAGTCACTGCTTTTCAAAAAGTGGATGACCCGCCCTAGATGAGATGAAAAGGGAAGAAATCTTGGTACCATGCTGTGACACTAATGAATACATATATTATTAAATGCTCTGTGCTGCTGAGCACGGAGGAATTGCTGCCCTGAAACCACAGCATTGGTTTCTGCTCCTATTAGCAGATAGCGTAGCATCTAATCTTCTCTCAGGTCCCCAAGAGGAGTGAATATACACTAGGGAAACACCAGCCCACTCACACCACACTCTGCCTCTTAAACAGGGATAGGTGACTTGTGCCCTTCCAGATGCTATGAGACTGTAAGTCCTATCAACCCTTGTCTTCATAGTGAAAATGGAGCGAGATGAAGGCAAATAACACATTTGCCCAGTCACAAATTGTCTGTCCTTCCTCTAGAATGCAAACGAAAGCACTAATTCTAAATGGTTTCTCTCACCTTTCCCTTTCACTGGGTCATGTCACGTACCCACCCTCTTATGGGCATGTTCTATCCCAAAGATTTCAAGCTATGAAGGAACATGATTTTGCTTTTTGTAAGAGTCCTAGGCACTGATTCACAGTGCTCAACACCACTACTCAAGGCACTTGTGTACATTACATACAACATCTTATCAATAATACTAATTTTTGTCAATGATATAAATATCCTTTTCCAACTGTACATATGACTGCTTTTCTCTGCTGTCTGGATATCTATGCATTAAATAAGTGGGCTGCCCACACACCAGACACTCTGTCAATAAGGATTGAATAATGAATAATTAAAAATGTAGACACATCTGTAGCATTACAGTATGAGTGTAGTTGTTTGGGAAGGCAAACATTCAAGACTTCTCCTAAGAAGACCACATAAATACTGGTTAGACCAGGGAAACTGGAAAGAGGAGCTATATGAAATAGGTGTGGGTGTGTTTCTTTGTTGCTGCTGCTGTACACAGAGCCTTGACGTTACACCTAGATGATTCTTACCTATTAAATACCCAGTCACCTGGCACTGTTGCAATTAATCAGGGAACTGTGTGGATGTATATGTACACACAACAGATACAGTGGTCCCACTGTGGTCTCCAAAGATGAAAGACAGCAGTGGGTGAGCAGTAAGTCAAGAAGCTGGGCAATTTGGAATATTACATGTTTTCCTCCAGAGGTGGCTGCAAGGCATTAGTCCTAACAAGTCCAAAGATTTCTGCTACAGTTAGGCTGGCATCCATCATGTGTTTTTGAATCCGTTTGTGGCTTCCTGGATGCAAGCGCCAGCTTTATGTACTCCAGACATTCTACAGAAGGCCCATTCTTCTGCTTCTCTGTATAAATCGTCTCCGAGAACAGCATGTGCTGACAGGGTGCCAGGGGATGGAAGAAATCGCCTTTTTTTAAGTACACGTTCCTCAGGTTCATATATATATTGCTCAGGTTTTTTGTTCTAGTACTATAAGTGAAGTTAGATTACTTGTTTTGGTCAACAAAAGTAGGAGTGTCCCGATTACTCAGGCAGGACCTTTTGTAAAGACTATGAAGAGTTACTAGAATAAAACCTGTTTGAATTATTACAACACATATATTTCTGAACCTGGCTAGATAGCTCAATGAACTGAGTACCTGGCTGGGGACCTGACAAATAGTTGTCCAATTTTCTTTTGAATGCCTCCCACATTGGAGCACTTGCCACCTCCTGAGGTAATTGGTCTATCATGTTGCTCTAACAATTAAGAAGTTTTCCCTGATATTCAGCCTAAATCTGGCTTCCTTTAACTGTGAGGGTTCAGTGTTATGATCTTCCTTTTTATCAATCATTCCAGTCGACGCCGATTGCAAGGGAAACTGTGAAGCATTTATCCCTGATACCAAGAAATAAACAATTGTCCTAAACTTGAGTGTCTTCTTTTTCTCCTCCCTCCAATGGGTCAGGAAGGGGTTTCCAACCATCTAACAAGAAGGAGTTACTATAACTGATATTCCAGGGTCCTGGTAACTCTGCAGGAGTCCATTCCTTTAAGGACGTACCTTTTGGTATAGGGAGCACGGGCTCAACTGATATTCCAGGGTCCTGGTAACTCTGGAGGAGTCCATTCCTTTAAGGATGTACCTTTTGGTATAGGGAGCACGGTCACGGCCACGGGCTTGTCTTCCAGGGGGTCATCCCAAGGGGCATCTCTCCCTGGTTCCAACGCCTCCCAAGTTGTTTGTGTTCTGCCATGCTCTTTATCTCTTGTACCCTCCATTCAATTATTTTTCGCCTTTCCCTTTCCACTCGCTCTTTCTCTTTTCTCAACTTTCTCCTCCACTCTCTTGCCTCAGCCTCTCCCCAATAAGATGGTTGAGGGGGAAATCACTGGCCGTTGTCTATGGGCTGCTTCCTCTCGAGGTACCCTCAGTCTCTCCTACTTTTGGGTCCATATAAGATGGTTGAGGGGGAAATCACTGGCCATTGTCTATGGTCTGCTTCCTCTCGAGGTACTCTCAGTCTGTCCCACTTTTGGGTCCATGGATCTTGTAGCCAGATCCATTCCCAACCTGGAGGCAACTGGTCCCTTTCTTCTCTCATCTCTCCTATCCCTGCCTCTTATCTCCTCCCTCCTGTTCTTCTGTTTTTCCACCTCTTCCAACGGTCCTTCTTTTATTTCCATCCCCCTCAACTCTTTCCTTACTACTTCTACCTCCATACTTAGTGGAGGTTCCTCAGGTGCTTTCACTGGAGTTGGTCGGAGTTCTCTT